TTCTCTCTAAGAGGGTAATTCAGGCGTGGAATGCTCTGTCCGCGTACATTGTCTGTGGACATGTTTAAGATTAAGTTGAACCAGTATAGCAAACACGTCCTCCCAATTGCAGCCAGGCATGACAGATAATATGTTTGTTTAAAATAACTGCTGAGTATCGTGGTGGACCCCCGTGTTCCGTCATCTGGTCGGCAGACCCGGTAACCAGCAAGGGCGTATGATGGGCGCATCTCCGACACTCGGTGATGTTCTCGTGACCTCCGATTTGCATATTCTCCCCCCCACCCCCCTCCTCACTACTCACGGGCGAAAGTATTTCTCCCTAAAATCCCGAAAATGGCATCCAAACCTAGAATTCTGAACAATGTTTTTTTTTACTGTCCGCCCTTTTTACGCAGTTCTATCACTGCGAACGCCACATGTTCTGCAATTCATAGCTGCTCTGTACCAAGAGGGACTTCAAAGGTATTTACCTATATTTTACTAATAAACCTGGCCTGACCTCAAATGAAACACACGCACACACGAGGCTGATGGCGTGGTCTGGTAAAGCGTAAGTTGTTAGTGCTAACAGCTTTGACTTTCAGTTAATCGATAAAGTAGTCAGAGCTAAACAGCTCGTCTACGCGTGCCACGCACATGCCCTGGTCCCACTCCAAAGGTACCAGGATATTGTACCGGTAGGTTTTGCTGCACATGTAAGAGAATGTAAAGAGGCCACTGCAGCCTCATGAGGTGGGTATGGATTCCCCTAGAATCGTTGTCCCTCTACTTATTCAAACAGAAATTGATAACCACTCATCATAACCGCCTGCGTAAACTTACTTGGTTTCCCATGATGCTTACCCGATTGTATTCACAACCTCAGTGCCAACTTACCGTTCTCTTGGGTATGGACGTTGTTGCTGAGGCCGAAACGTCAGGCAAGTAAAACTCTTGTTCCAGTGATCGCATCTTCTTCTTCTGAAAGATTACACTGTTAATGCATACTTCGAGGCTAATCCAGCTTCATTCTCGATCTCAGTGTCTACTTACCTGTTGCTTGAGTATAGACAGAGTTGCTGAGGCCAGCCTCTCCGGTTCCTTTAGCTGACGTTGCGGTGACCGCGAATACAAGTTCGGCGAACTCAGGCAGGTTGCGGGCGATGCAGGAAGTGCCTTTCACTACAACTTTCGCGTCCTTGACTACATCGCCACCCCATCGAACGGTGATCTGATAACCGGCCACGCCTGATCCTTTGTATTTTGGCTCTGTCCAGACAACCTTGACTTCAGTAGGTTTGATCAGTGTTGCTTTGACATTCTGAGGTGCGGAAGGAACTAGGCACAGAAAGCACGGCACCATTTTACAAACCTATTTGCCAATAAGCGTTGGTGAATTCTAGGTTGATTGCTAAGCAAATATTGTATTGGCCGACAAATCGACCCAAGTGTGGTTAAATAGACGGCTACGGTGGGGTCTCGATAGGCCCATTGACTACCGCGTTGGTCGTAGTCAAGTCTTCCTCGCTGCTGGCATGGGTTCGAATCCCACCGAGACCGCCGAATTTTTCACAATTGGGTCAAATTAAATAAGCGTGAATTTAAAACTGCTCAATTTAAGGTAAGCGAGAAACAGACGGCTAAAAAGTGTCAAAACGTAACCTATAAACTGTGAAGAAGAAACGCCGATCATTGGACAGAGCGCAATAGGTGGGAACAACAGAGCTTGATGAAACAAATTTGTCGAGAATTTGCCAGAATTAAAAGGACCATCTTGAAGTTTTTTGTCGAATGAATGAAAATGTTCGCGTTCCAGGTGTCTGCATGGATACGGAAGAAGACGTGTCGAACACCGTATCAATTGATTTATTGTCCTCAGCTTTGGAAATCTTACAGGAGTGGGGACAATACATTACTCGATTTACTGTTTATGACCCCGAACGACTGCCGATTTTACTGACAGTTAATTAACGTGTACCAATACAATTGCTACCCCCCCCCACACCTCTATCCTTTTTGGTTGATGTTTCTTACCCCTTGACGCTCTGATGACCGCTGACAGTTTATTGGCCTATAGCCACTATAGTTACCCCCTTTTGGTTGTTCTTTCTTATATCTGATGATGGACTCCTGTAAGAGTCCGAAAGCTCAGGACACTAAATCAAGTGATACGGGGCTCAACACATCTTCCTTGTACACAACCTTTTCTGCAATCCAATAATGGAAATATATATTCAGAAAATGACTAAAGGAAAGTTCTTTTGATATTAAGCAAGTAGTATGGTATACACAGAAGTTACAATAAGATTTAAATTTATTGTTCTGTAGAACTTAAGGAATGTTAAGAAAATTTATTTTTCTTGACAAAACAATAGTTCAGTTATCTTTATTTTGAGTAACAAATTTGCCTAAGGCTTTTCATTATTTATAAGTTTTTTCAAACGTGTTTATGCCGGTACGCGGGTAATTATTCAGCTTTCCCAAAGTTCAGCATTTTGCATGACTTTCTCGCCGCGCTTTGTAAATCTTTGACTAATTGCAGGCAATTCAGAATATCGATTAAGATGGTGAAGTGCTTTGCATCCCAGTTGCAAAGGTAGGGAGCGGCTTAAGTGAAAAGAGGTCATAAAGAGGACGATGGAGAAGATGCGAACAATGTGACGAAACAAATGAGATGTCTAGTTTAATATGGAACGGGGAACCGGGGGGAGGGGGAGGGATACATTACAGGTGGAGGATCGTGGATGAAGTCGACAAAATGTACAGTATCAGCTTACCGCCGTTATCAGTTCTGACAAAGACAGGATACGATTGCGCACTTTCTGCCTGCAAGCTCACTGCTTGCATCACAATGTCGTACTCCGTGTCTGGCTTTAGTCCCGTCAGAACGCGGAGTACAGCAGTTGATGGCGCGACTTCTGTCCGGCTCGAGCCATCCATAGCATTTATGGTGATCTTGTAATAGTAAACAGGGACATTGGGAT